GATTGTATCTAATTAGGAAAACTATTTTTAGATACATTCATTGATTAACTGGTACCAGGGAAAACAAGAATATTTTCTACACGATGGGTCCTATCTACCTACTTACAAAGATACATTTGACCATGTGTTTGCCTGATAGTAAGATGTATTCTAAAAATATGTCCTTTTTCTTCTTTTGATGCCAGCATGTGCGTTAGGTAGTTATAAATACATACACTGGTGGCCAAAACTAAAGCAACTTAAATCGCAAAGATAAAATGTCCTGTAACTTTTACAAAAATAAACAAATCGTAATTATTTTTCCAGTTTTAAAGGAGGAGTTTAATTCACTTTTAAGATACTAAAAATAAAAATACAAAAATAATTTTGAACGAAAAATAATATGTGGAAAAATAGAATGACCTACGCACTGATCTCGAGCTTATATCCAATGATTGCTCTCTCACCAATCCAGTTGAACTCTTAAATAGTTGTTTTTTATTTCTCTCACAATTTGTGCATCAGTACGGGCTGAAGTTTTTCACGGCCTTCATCCGTTATAGACTGTTACTACTGATCCAGTTTTAAAAAACCGACTTAGTATACAGAAATAATTATGAAATCACATAAATATTTATGAAATATTTCTCGGAAATCATTTTCTGTGATATGTTGTTTTGATTATCACTGATAATTTGCTATTTTATTCAGGTACTGTATTTGCTTTTAGCCATTTTTTAAAAAAAATTGGGCAGTACTTAAAAAACGAAAAGAAAAACACATACTGTTGTAAAAAACTTCTCAAAAAGGATTTATGACAAGCGAAATTGTCGAAGGAAGCAAAAAGCGATAAATATCACAGTAAAAACAACTGAAATTGAAGCGGTCATATGAATGTACAACAGAGTTGCTTTTGTTTTGACCAAGCCAAAATCGGGTTAATTGACTTTACCAAACATTATTTTTTATATAAAAATTAATTTTGGTTTTATGATTTAGGTTTTTAAAAAGTGAATAAAGTACCTAATTTAAAACAAGAAAAACTTTCTCATTTTCTTAATTTTTGAAAAAGTTACAGGGCATTCATTCTCCTTGTAATTTCAGTTGCTTTAGTTTTGGCCACCAGTGTATGTGATTAATGCTGATGCCAATTGGAATATCCTTTAAAATTATAAGGATGTGTGTGTGCGTGTTTGTATATCTGGAAAAGGAAACAAATATCATATTGAGGCAAAAATAAATGAAAATTACTTGCCTGAGGCGATCTAGTCCTGGCTGTCTAGTAGTCCGTCAAATTTAGGATGGCTGATTGCGTGCTCATATTTTGACAATGTTTTGAAAATGAATTGCAGGGAGAAGCGAAAAATGAACGTGACCCATTTTTTGATACCCTACTCCACAATTTATAGTCAACAATTATTCCCTTAAAAATGTACGTTTGAAGAAAATCATGCACTGTTTCCTTATATTATGCTTCGCTACCCCTTTGGACTTTATATGCATTCAAAATTTTATACACGAATATTTATTGGTTTAAAAATAAAATAAAACAAATTCAAAAATTTAAAAAGCCGAATTATTGCAAAACTTTAATGTGTAAACAACAAATAGCTCTGCCTACCAACGCGTGAACATGCTAGGAAAAGCTGACCATGAGAAAATCAGGAACATGACAAATTTAGTCCGCATACTCGAAGTATTTGTCCTTTGGATTTATTAATTTCATAGGAAATGCCAAGCGAGCACGAAACGCGAAGTTATATTGAACTTCGCGAAATTATTTTGTACCAAATTTCGTCTCTCAGTCTGAATTTCATTGGAATCGGACTTACATATCGTGTGTGGTGCACAAATTACATAAAATTGGCAGAAATGTATATATGGGAGCTATTTATACCCTACACCACAAGGTGGTCAGGGTATTATGTCTTTGTGCATTTGTTTGTAACAGGCAAAAGAAAACGAGATAGACCCATAGTTTCTTTTGATGATCTGCATAGAATCACTTTCTGAGTTGATTTATGCATGTCAGTCCGTCTGTCCGTCCGTCTGTCCATGTATTTTTGTGAACAAAACGCAGGTCGCATTTATTATCCGATTGAGATGAAATTTTCCAAACAACATTTGTTTGGCCCAAGGACGAACCCTATTGAAATTAGAGATAATCGGTAAAAATTTAGATATAGTTCCCATATATATTTTCGTCCGATTTGCCTTTTATTGTGCACCAAACGTGTAATATCAGCCCGAATAGTATGGAATTTTGCACATGCAACCAAATTAGGCCTAAAAATAAGCATGCCAAATTTGATGGAAATCGGTTCAGATATAGCTATAGCTCCCATATATATTGTCCATTCGATTTGTTTTTTTTTTTGTCCTCCGCAGCCGTAATATGCACTCTGTAACAACAATATTTGGGGAAATATATCAAATGCAGCTCAGAAATACCTTTGCTAAATTTTATCGAGATCGGGTCAGATTTGGATATAGCTCCCATATATAACTTCGTCCGATTTACCTTTGCACCAAACGTCTAATATTTGCCCAAATGGGATGAAATTTGGCTCATACGACCGAATTGAGTTTAGAAGGTAGTATGCCAAATTTGGTGAAGATCGGTTAAGATATAGCTATAGCTCCCATATATATTGTTCATTCGATTTGTTGTATTTGTTACCCACAGCCGAAATATGCACTCCGTAACAACGATATTCAGGGAAATATATAAAATACAGCTCAGAAATATCTTTGCCAAATTTTATCGAGATCGGTTCAGATTTGGATTTAGCTCCCATATATATCTTTATCTGATTTAGAATTAATTTTGCACCAAATGGGCAATACAAGTCCGAATTTAAAAGATACAAATGCTTCGGCGTATTTAGTCCTTTAAATTTTAAATTATAATTATAATCATAGGGTGTATGATTGAATTCTCCCATAAAAACTTTTACTTGTTATGTGGAGCTCAACTAAATTAGCAAAGTGGTGTAGGGTATCATAAAATCGGCCCCGCCCGGCTTTAGGACTTTCTTTACTAGTTTTCAATATAATTTGACAAAATTTACTTTTACACCAAATTCCGTCACCTTACTACTATATTTCATTGAAATCGGAGGTACATAATGCATCAAATTTGAGAAATCGGCCGAGAATATATGTATGGGAGCTATATCCAAATCTTAACCAATTTCTAATTGATTTGTCAAATTTATTATTGTAACTAAATTCCGCCACACATTCTGAATTTCATTGGAATCGGATATACAGGGTTAGACAAAAAAAAACTGCAACAAAGTCAAACGCCATAATTTTTACATTTTTTTTTTTAATTTATTTAAATGAAAGCAAAAAATGTCGGAAATAGCATTAAATTTTAGAATAAGTTTAGATTTGTTCGAATTGGTCACCTTTGGGAGGAATTATGGCCTTCAAAGTGCCAATGAAACCTTCACACGCCGCCCGAATGATGCTCTGCGGTATTTTGGCCCATTCCTGACGAAGCGCTTGCTTGTGGTGATCAACACTTTGGTATTTTTTGGTGCCTACCATGCTTTCCAAAATACTTCAGGCACAAAAGTCCAACGGATTGGTATCCGGAGATTTTGGTGGCCATTGTGAGCTGGAAATGAAGCGAGGAAACTCATTTCGTTGCGGCCAAAATGTTTGCATGCTCAAGGCTTTAATACACCCTCCAGAATATTTTCGCGATAATATTCGGTATTTATTATGATGCCACGGTCGATTAATACGAGCGGAGAGCGACCATCGGCTGTTATGGCGACCATCACCATGGCCGGCTCGTGAGTTCTGGTGGCCAACCGAAGGTACACATTTTCAGCCGACCTCTTTGGCAAGTAAACACGATCGTTTTGTATGTTTACAAACTGCTGGACAACCAATGCTTTCTAATCGGGGAAAACCACTTTCGGCCAAGCGAAGAAACTCTTTAGCTCTTTTGAGTCTATTTCTTTCTGTTGCGGTGTAAGTTCTTGCACATTTTGGAATTTCAATGGCTTCACCCCGAGCTCAGTTTTCAATATTTGGGAATGGAATATTGCGACATGTTTAGCTCACGAGTTATTTTTCGGCCACTGCGACGCGGGTTTCGATCAAGTCGCTTCTTTACTTTTCGAACCATTTCTGCTGATGTTGCTGTTTTCTTCCGTCCAATTGCTTGACGTCGATCTACGCTACCAATATCACGGTTACGAGCGATGGTACATGCTGGAGTGCTCTAACGATAGCCAATTGTGGCTTTCCACCCAAATATAAAGAAATCATACTATCACGCTTGAATTCCATAACGAATAACTTTTTTTCTGGAAAATGCTCACCAAAATGCTTTTATACGCTTGTAAAAAATATAATGAGCTGTCTCTGGAATAATTTTAACAGCTGTCGGACCAGTGGTTTAGAAATAAAAGCAGTCGGAAGCTGGGTGCAGTTTTTTCATCTCACCCTGTAATATGCTTTGTTGGTGCAGATTGATAACTGTTGCGGTTTGAGCAAAAGTAACAGACGAAAATAATATTTTGTAGAAGACGTTAAAATTTCGAAAAGTCGATATTTGGATGTATCGATCGATTTCCCCACTTTACTGTCTGCTATTGCCAACAATTAATGTTCGGTAACATTAAACATAAATTCGTTCTTTATTGCTTCGTAGTGAGAGTTTGGTAAGTAATTTCTTCCCATAACTTTCTAGCTTATGTTAAAGAGTTATCAGACTTCTAAATGTGAAACTTTTGCTGGCCATTGGTACCACAGTGCAGTGCATCAAAACAAAATCAGTCTAGGTCTTGAAATAGTTTCTTTTTTTCTATTCAACTACAACAGCAATTTCGAAGATCTTGATAACCTTTAGCAAAAAATGTTTGTTTTAAATCGACAAATTATAAAATTTGGCAAATTTAAATTTAAAAAATCTTACACAGAACAGTTTTTAAAATCCCATTCGAGCAATAATAACGCGGAGAGTAATTTAAAAATGAGGAAGTATTTTAAATACGGATTTATAAGAGGAATTTTATTTCTACTCTTTCTGGAACTTGGCAGATCTGCAGAATTGCCCACCGTGACCAAGGCAAGAAATATTTTAAAATTTATGAATGCAGCTGCTGATCCGTGTAAAAATTTCTATGAATTTTCGTGCGGTAATTTTCCACGTATCTATCCGGCCACTTTAAGTCATCAGGCGGAGACAAGTGTTTTGGGAAACCTGCAGGCTGACTTGGAACATATTATGTTCTCCATGCTGAACAGTCCGAATGTAACATTGGATACTGTGAGCGAACGAAAAGTGAAAGATTTTTATAATTCATGCCTGGATATCAGCCAATCGGGATGGTCGTATGTTACCAAATTGAAGGAGATCATTGCAGAATTTGGACAAATGCCGGTTTTAGATGAAAATTGGTCCGAAACGGACTTTGATTGGCTGAAAACTGTGGCAGAGATTTCCCAAAAGTATGATTTGCAAATAATTGTGGGCAGATATGTACGCAAAGATTCCCACGATAGAAGACGACGGAACACAGTGTATTTTGATTTACCCTCATTTGGTTTGGCAAAGCCCGAAATGTATTTGAATCCTGCCTATAAGGTAATGCTGGAAGAATATCGATCGGCAATTATTCAACATTTGAGAAATTATTTGGGAGTGGAAGAAATACTCTCCGAAATGGTGGCCCAAGAGATTTTGGGTTTTGAGGTGGCTTTGGCTATGGCCACCACAAATGACACCAGTACTCTCTCTCACCCTTATGAATATGTGGACTATTTGAAAAGAGAATATCCCGATGAATTGGATTTGTTGAAATATTTGGAAATTACACTGGATGACACCCTGCCCAAGGGGAAAATTTTCGATATGTGTCCCGTTTACCATAAAAATCTAATCAAACTTATGAAACGTACCCCCAAGAAAATTGTGGCAAATTATATTTTCTATTCATTGTTGAGGAATTTTATGCTGACACCCTTTCCATACTCCTACGAAGCCTTGCAAAGGGGCTGTGTTGGTCTAACACGAAGACATTTCAGCTCGATTGTCGACAATATGGTCTATCATCGCACCAATGTCAAGGATGCCGAACAGGCTGTCATAAACATGGTCTACGATTTGCGTACCGTAATGGAATTTTCTTTGCGCCAAAACGATCGGTTATCGGAAAAACTACAAAAACGTATCAAGCAAAAACTAAAGGCCCTGAAGGTGAAAATAAAATCCCACGAAAATAGTGATGGTTTCCAAAAATATGAACAATTACTTATCGATGTAAATGACATTTGTGGTAATTTGAAATCGATATTTATTTTGAAATCCATGGAAATCAAAGAAAATTTAAATTCCACTACCCCAACAAGCTACCTCGATTCCATATCCCCAAGTCTCCTGCCGAGATACATAAAAGAAGAAAACACACTATTGGTGCCGGTGGGCTTCTTACAGCCCCTCTTTTTCTGGCACTCTACATATCCCGTTTCCATAAAATTAAGTCAACTGGGATTTTTCCTGGCCCACGAAATGCTACATGCCATAGACGAGGAAGGCATCTTCTATGACCCCGATGGCCAATATAGTTATTGGAACAATGGAAAACTTCCCGATACCTTGATCATGCGCCGTAACTGTTATTCACAACTCCAACAAACTAGTAGTTACATTTATGCAGGAACTAAATTACCCGAATTACAGCCAGAATTGGAAAACATTGTTGATGCTGAAGGTCTACGTTGGGCCTACAAGACCTTTGCAACGTGGTACAACAGTCCATTGCTAGTTGGCTTGAATATATCCAGCGAAGCTTTGCCCAATTTGCAATACCAAAATCACCAATTGTTTTTCATTCATTTTGCCCAACTATGGTGTAATGATATTAATCACGCGGTCACAGGCCTGCCATTTGTGCCCAATGGAGAATACATATCGGGAAGCTTAAAAGTGATGTCCATTCTAACGAATGTCAAGGAATTCTATGAGACATTTCATTGTGAGAGGCCTAAGAGAACATTTGAGTGCGAGGTGTATTAAGTAAAAATTAATAAAATATTAATAACATTAAGTAAAAATTAATAAAAAAAAATGTATAATTAATTAAAATGTGTCTATCTGTGTTAATAAAACAAGTAAAAAAGTATCGGTCGGTGTTACCGACAGATGTATACCCTCAGCCCTCTTCACCCTCTGTGGAGTGGGTTTTGAAAGAATGGGTCAATATTGTTCATTTCGTATCGGACCTAAATAAATGTGATATAAATGTTAAAATAGCGGATGGATAAATCAATTGTAAAGAATCGCTGAGTTGTTTCTCAATTTATGACAGATAAAAATATTGAAAATTGTGTCCCTTTGTGGGTGAGGTACCAGCAGGTGTTCGCAGATATATATCATCTTCAAAACAGATCTGGGGTTAGCAAAAATGCTTATATGTGTGAAATTTGTGGAGAGTTGGATCCTTATTTCCCTTTCTTTGAGCGTTATGTTATTGAAAATTAGATTATTGCTTCCCATTCTGTGCAGAAAATATATATATATTTTTTTTTTTTTTTGAAAATTTCGACCATTTGTGGGGGAGGTACCAGAAGAAGTGGACCGATATACTCCATCTTTACACCAGACCTTGGGCTAATAAAATGATTGGGATGTGTGAAATTTGAAGACAATCGGACTCTTACATCACATTTTATGAGAGTTGTAATTATTCAAAACTAGCTGGACCGGTCCGCGTTGCCGGCCCTTATTTTCAGTCTTTAATGCAAATTTTGCATAGCATAATATTTCACAAATCTAGCTCATAAAGGTGAACAAATTTTAATATAAATATTGATTTGACTAAATAGAAATAAATAACTATGGAAGGAGGGCAAAATAATTTCTGAATAGTCAAAGTTAATTACGCTTTTACAACCATTACCATAGCACCTCAAATTGCGCATTAGAGTCCCCAAAAAGTCTATGTTCTTGTTCATAGTAAAATTCAATGACGATTAAACAATACCCGCGTTGTTGTCCGCCAATCGGTAAACATCACTATATATCGGCGGGCCTCGCGACTGTTCCAAAATATTTACGTATGTTGACATTTTTCTGTAAGATGGTTCTCTACTCACAAAGTAGCCTAAATACAGCAAATAATGGCCAATCAGTTGAAAAACGTGGCCAAGACCACGGTTACAGCTGAAATCAGGGATACATTTATATAAGGGTTATACCAAAACCGTGGCCCAACCAATATTCTCTTGGGGGTTACAAATTCAAAAGAAAACAAAATTTTCTTTTCTGACCACCAATTAGATGTGAAAGTGGACTTGGGGATATTCCAATGTGGGGACTTTACTTAAATAAATTCTTATGTGGCAATTATCTGTATGATGGTTCCCTACCCCAGAGTAGCATAAATACAATTTTTAGCCAAATCAATTAATGAATGTGGTCAAGACCAAAATGGGCCCTACTCTGAAAATTTCAAACTTTATGCGAAGAGGTTCTATAGCTCCTTAGAAACAAAGATGCCAAATAATGGCAAAAATATTAATAAAGTGACCAAGACACCAAAAATAGCTTAAATCATACGATGGTTATATAAATATGAAATCGGGTTGTACCCTTATCCGTGGGTTATGATCGATATCATGACCTGCAAAAGCGATTTAAGGTATCTTGAATGTTTGGGAAGAATTTCTGGAAGGATAGAAATCCTTTTCTTACTAAGAGTCCCATTCGCTCTACTATTTTCCACCCTTTATATTTGGTATTCTTCTGAATGTACATTGGACGGATTATTGTGACAGGAAAGAAGTAGTTCCACGCTTTGAAATAAGCCCCATTAGGCTTTTTCCGTAATTTTTGTTTGTTCAAATGTGTTCGCATCTTCGAGCTGAACCACAATGTCGGCCCTGGAGTTGAAAGGTAGATGTCAGTTAACATCGTACTTCCCACTTATATCATTTTTTGGTGAAAATTTATATATAGTGAAAAATTATTCTTTATTTTGTTCACAAAAAATTTACTGAATTCAATTAGATAATACAAATTGAAAAAAAAAATAACAAAAGAAGAATAACACATTGAAAAAATCTTCAACCTGTTCGCTGATTTTTTACAGCAAATGTTTAAAGATCCTTATATAGTTTGTCAATAGAATGTACTTCTATTTTAAAATTCGATTCCATTAAATTATTTCGACATCATCTATTCCGTTTCGCCACCACATAATTCGGTACTACACTTCCATGTAACTCGCCATCAATTTCATTTCTCAAAAAATCAAGTCAATTAAATAAATTGGTATTAATATTTGAATTCAAAAATAAAATATAAAAAACACTACAAATGTACATTAGAAAAAAGTAAGTCAAAATGGAAAAAAATCATGCAAAATAAAACATTACTATTGTACATTTCAAAAGTCAAAATGAAAATGTTAATATATCACATTTTTACGCAATTTTTTTGGATATTATCCTTTTCGGAGAGGAGACAATTCCGAATTTGTATGAATCGTTAAAATCAATCCAGCGGTTCTTAAGTTATAAGCGTAGTAACTAACACAACTTTCTTTTATATATATAATATATATATATACTAGCTGGCCCGGTCCGCGTTGCCGGCCCGTAGTTTTTGTCTATTATGCATATTTGTCAAAGCATAGTTATTCAAAGATATGAATGTTATAAATGTTCACGTACTGGTCGATTAGTTTTTAATTTTTAGTCAAATGAGCAGTAATTTGGAATTTACTGTACTTTGTGCACCTCATAATTGAGGGCTAATAGATTTAAGAATAGCCAAAGTTAATTACTTTTTTAAACCCATTAGCACCTCAGATTGTGCATTAGAGTCCTCATAAGTCCCCCTAGCCATGTCGGTCTGTTTGTCCGCCAAAAGGTGGACTTGAGGCGGTACTATTACATGGAGAAAATTCTAAAATTTGTAGATATGTTGAAATTTTTGTGTAAGATTTTCACCCCCAAATACACATTTTTAGCCGAATCCTTTGAAATAAGGTAAAATGCGAAACATCGATGACAAATAGAGGCCAAATCGAAAATATAGCAGAACAACATAGCATGTCAAACTGAAAAAAATCACGTGATTTAAATAAGTAAAAATAGTTTTATCCACCTCATAATTGAGGTCAGACTGATTTCAGAATAGTCAAATATAATTACTATTTCACACCCATTACCGTAATATGGGAACTATTTTTTTTGTCATTTAAATTGTAAATTGGAGACCCCATATAGTCCATATTTTTCATCATAGTATAATTCAATGACGATTCAACAAATATTCGGTCCCGTGCTACTTTCTTATATTTGTAATTTGTTCATGTTTTCACAATTTATTTCATATAGATGTATATCCCAAATCTACGTTTCCAACCAATATTCTCTTGGGGGTTACAAATTTAATAGAATATAAATTTTTCTTTTCTGACCACACATTAGATGTGAAAGTGGACTTGGGGATACTCCAATGTAGGGACTTTACATGAATAAATTTCTATGTATCTTAAATCTTCAGGAAGAATTTTTGGAAGGATAGAAATCCTTTTCTTACTAAAAGTCCCATTCGCTCTACTATTTTGCACCCTTTATATTTGGTATTTTACTGATTGTACTCCCAAAAATTTTTGCATTTTGAGCTCTCATTGGACGGATTATTGTCACATGAAAGAAGTAGGGTCACACTTTGAAATAAGCCCCATTAGTCTTTTTCGGTCATTTTTGTTTGATTAAATGTCTGCGCATCTTCCAGCTGAATCACGATGTAGGCCCTGGAGTTGAAAGGTAGATGTCAGTTACCATCGTATTTCGCACTTATTTCATTTTTTTAGTGAAAAATTGTATATAGTGAAAAATTATTCTTTATTTTGTTCACAAAAAATCTACTGAATTCAATACGATATTACAAATTGAAAAAAATTGACAAAAGAAGAATAACAAATTGAAAATATCTTCAACTTGTTCGCTAATTTTTTACAGCAACTGTTTAAAGATCCTTAAAAAAGTTTGTTAATAGAATGTACTTTTATTTTAAAATTCAATTGCATTGGAATTTTATTTCGATATTTTCCCGTTTTGAGAATTGTTGCAATGAGATCTCTTTTTTCGTGATTTTTTTTAACGATTTTGAAAAAGTAATTATCTTTTAACTTTGGTGTGACCGCATTAAATTATTTCGGTATCATCTATTCCGTTTCGCCAATACATAATTCGGTACTACACTTCCATGTAACCCGCCATCAATTTCAGTTCTCAAGAAATCAAGTCAATTAAATAAATTGGTATTAATATTCGAATTCAAAAATAAAATATAAAAAACAATACAAATGTATATTAGAAAAAAGTAAGTCAAAATGGAAAAAATCATGCAAAATAAAACATTACTATTGTACATTTCAAAAGTCAAAATGAAAATGTTAACATATCACATTTTTACGCGATTTTTTTGGATATTATCCTTTTCGGAAAAGAGACAATTGCGAATTTGTATGAATCATTAAAATCAGTTCAGCGGTTCTTAAGTTATAAGCGTAGTAACTAACACAACTTTCATTTATATATATATATATATATATAGATATATATATATATATATATATATATATATATATATATATATATATATATATATATATATATATATATATATATATATATATATATATATATATATATATATAGATTTTGACCATTTGTGGGGAAGGTACTTGAAGGAGTGAACCAATGTTGTCCATTTTCGCACCAGACCTATCACTGATGCAAATATTACGACTTGCAAAGTTGGAGCAAAATCGGATCATCGTTTCTCTTTCTGTGCAAAAAATATACATTTTTTTTTGAAAATTTCGACCATTTGTGGGGGAGGTACCAGAAGGAGTGGACGGATATATTCCATCTTAACACCAGAGCTTGGGTTAATATAAATATTGGGATGTCCGACATTTGAAAACAATCGGACTCTTATATCACATTTTATGAGAGTTGTAACTCTTCAAAATGTTGACCATTTGTGGGGGAGGTACT